CTGCAGTGGCCAGGAGTGGCCACTGCACTCCAGTCTGGGCGACAGAGTGAGACTCCAGCTCAAAAAATAAATAAATAAATAAATAAAAAGTAAAATAAAATATCTTAGAGATGATCCCCGCCCAGTTTTTAAAGCAGGAGGCAGTGAACCCTAGAGAGGCTGTGCGTCTGGCCAGAGGCCCTTTGGCTAGCCAGTGGCAAAGCTGGGACCAACCAGGGTCTCCTGACAACTGGCCTTGCAGGCGTGTCTCACCCCATGCTGCCCTCACAGTGTGGGAAGGAATCCCTCAGCCTCCCCACCCTTTCTGCCGTAGGAGGTACCAGCTGCAGCGCATCGTGAACGTGGAGAAGCGTCAGGACCAGCTACGTGGGGGTCGCTACCTCTTGGAGCTCGAACTGCTGGACCAAGGCCAGCGCCTGGTGCGGCTCTCGGAATACGTGTCTACGCGGGGCTGGCAGGGCGTTGATCCAGCTGCAGGGGACGAGGCGGAGGCCCGGAACCTACAAGGCCTGGTCCGCGGCCCACACCACCGGCGGAGACACGTCCTGAACATCCGGGCCCAGGAGCCCAAGCTGTGCTGGCCCCAGGGTTTCTCCTGGAATCACCGGGCCGTGGTCCACTTCGTTGTGCCGGGTAAGCCTCAGCCAAGCCTCGGCACCATCGGCAGAAGATTAGTTGAGCACCCAGGTCTATTTGCATGGACTTGCCCTCCCCAGGACTTCTGAGAAAGACCACTTTACGGTCGAGGAATCTGAGGCTCACACGAGGAACTCCTTTAAGGCGGCACCGCTAGTAAACGCTGGAGCGCAGAATAGATACTGACTCATAGGCCAGTGCCCTTTCTTTCATACCAGGTTTCAGGGTTGAGTGTGATCACTCACTGGGGTTGCTGGCGACGCGCAGCTGGTCCAGGGAAATAAGATAGGGGGTACTCGACAGAGTGGCTCGCTGGGTTTTGTCATGAGAAAGGGGACAATGACAGGCAGGAATATAACCATGGGGCAGGACAGGAAATCACGAGTGGCTCAGTCTGTCATCCCAGCATTTTGGGAGGCCGAGGCGAGTGGATCACCTGAGCCCACGGGTCCGAGACCCACCCGGACAACTTGGCAAGACCTCGTCTCTACCATAAATCAAAAATTAGCCAGCCGTGGTAGCCCGCACCTGTAGTTCTGGCTACTTGGAAGGCTGAGGCGGGAGGATCGCCAGAGCCCAGCGGGTTGAGGCCGGGAGCGTGCCACTCTACTCCAGCCTCGGTGACAGAGTGAGACTCCAACTCAAAAAAAGAAATTAGCCAGGCGTGGTGGCGCGCGGCTCTGGTCCCAGCTACTCAGGAGGCTGAGGCAGAAGGGTCGGCTGAGTCCAGGAGGTCGAGGCTGCGGTGAGCTGTGATTGTGCCATTGCACTCCAGTCTGGGCGACAGAGTGAGACCCCCGACTCAAAAAAGAAGGATGAGAATAAGATGGACAGATAACAACTGATTGTTCAAGTTGGGATGTAGCCCCTGATGAGTCCCAGGCCCAAGCCTTTCGTGGGGCCCTGCCGGGAGGGGTCGCAGGGAGTAAGCTTTCCCTGATGAGTTTTCCCTCTGCTGCATGGCTCACGGATTCCCACAGCTGCAGGTGCCCGAGCAGAAGCCAGTGGCGACTCCCGGCGGGCATGGGAGCTGGGAGTGGATTTGCGCCCCTTGGCCTTACTTCTGTTTCTTCCTCCCTGCCCCCTGGGGTAGTAAAGAACCAGGCGCGCTGGGTACAGCAGTTCATCAAAGACATGGAACACCTGTTCCAGGCCACCGGCGACCCATACTTCAATATCATCATCACGGACTACAGCAGTGAGGACATGGATGTGGAGACAGCGTTGAAGAGGTCAAAGCTGCGGAGGTGACCAGGGTCCCCGGCCCCTTCCTAAAGTCCTAGGACCCTGGAGTCCAGGGGAGGAGCAGAAGCCCCGGGCGGCTTTCCTGATGCCCGGCCTTTTCCAGAGGACTCACCTGCCCATAATCCCACCAGCTTGCTCCAGGGGACCCCTGTGGCCAAGTTCTGCCACTCAGTTCCTTCTCCTCCCCTCCCCGCAGCTACCAGTATGTGAAGCTGAGTGGGAACTTTGAGCGCTCGGCTGGACTTCAGGCTGGCATAGACCTGGTGAAGGTATACGGCCCGGGAGGAGCTCGGGGGGGTGTTGTTTGAGCCGGCTAAGAGAGATAGAGATGCCAGGCTCGGTGGCTCAGCCTG